TTAGTGAACTTAAAGAACGCAAGTAAGCGTTCATAAGCTATATGCGATGCGTTTTTTACTTATGTCTCTGATCCGGTATTGACTAAAAGGGGGAAAAGCAGAGCTAAATGTAAATAAGGGCAAACAATTTGCAGTTTCTCCATTAAATGGTCAATAGCTACGTTAGGCCTTTTTGCGTCTAGTTAGTGAATACAGCCTGTGCCTATGTGGGGACACAAATGAAAGCAAGTAAAATTGAGGTTATCATCCATATTCAGGAAACTTATATTTATAACTTTGGTATTACACTTTACAAAACAGACACACATCATTTATTTCATTCAGTTTTTTAAGGAGGCAAATAGCCTACTGTGGGGCTTTGCATAGAGCCACGAGCAAATCGAGCCGAAATTAAGGCTGACCCAAATTATACTTAAATGGAACAGATCCACTTACCGTGTCAATTGCGAATCCACGCAATGGTGCACTTCACTTATACAATTTAATGGTATATAAAGGATAAATCAGCTTCTAACAAAAGCTTTTGCCTATCCCCAGTTGTTCTGTTGTTTACAATCCTAATTTTCCCTACAACTTCGCTGCTGCGCTGTTCCACCAGTTGGTGATGGGTAGTTAGATTATGGTCGAAAATTACTACTGTCATGATATCGTCTACAATTATGCCTAATCCCTTTAGAATTGACCGAATGAATTCAGGCGGGAATAGAAAACATAGTAAGTCACTGATTTTGGATGAATGGGACCAATAATGGGAACTCGCTTTAATAGTCTTTTTAGTTTGTATAGCTAATATCAAAATATTGAAAGATGCTCCTCATTATTTAATAAAGATACTTGCTATTATCTCTCGAGTTTAGCGTTGTATTTGAAAATAAAGCCGTTTAGAAAAATTGGAACCGATCAATCAATGGCGAAATTTAGTTATGGTAATTATTCAATTGTCAGTATAGCTGCATGCATTTGTGCTCATTTTAAAGCACGATGCATTACATAAGGTGACAGCTGTATGAGACACAGTTGTGTGATTGGGATAGGTGCCAAGATGTGTCTTACGTTGGAATGAAGATGAAGAAGGAAAGAAGGGAAAGGAATATTAACTGAGTCGGCAGACAGCAAAGTGGCTTTAGATGAGAGAAAGCAAACTCTGTATGCGTAAGACTCGAACTCCCACTTAAATGCTTTACTTTGTGAGATTGTAAATGTTGGTATTTTCGCCCCTAACTTCGAGTGAAGGGGTCTTAGTTAGATGTTACAGAATTCAATGACCACTAACCAAGTTGCCGAATGCACGTAAGCATTCATGAGCTACTTGTGACGCGTTTCTCTTTGTGACTCTAATTTGGCATTGATTAAGAGAAGAAAGGTAAGGCACATAAAATCAAAAGCAAACACCAGCACTTCTTTGCCAAGTAGCCAGTAGTTACGCCACACACTTTCTACCCAATAAGCGATTATGGCTAGTGCTTAAGTGAAGGCGCAAAGGGAATCAACTATAATTGTTATTCAAATTAGGGAAATTTCTGCCTTTAGTCTTTTGCATTCATAACTTATAAAAACAAACATACATTATTTAATTCAAGCAGTGTTATGAGGTGCGGAAATGGCACTAGTGAGAGTTACGAGTAAATCGAGCCTAAATGAAGGGTGATCAAATGTATGCTTAAATGAAGCAGTTGCATTTACCACGGCACTTCGTAATCGCAACTTGGTGGCAAATAAGTGAAACACTGGTTTGTGACTAAAGAGTTCGCGCGTTCCCTTTTTATGCTGTTGTTTGCAACCGTAATGTGTCTTACAGCATTGCTGCAGTGCTGTTCCATCCGTCAGTGGCAAGTTGTTAGATTATAATCGAAAATAGCTGATTCTATGGTATTGTCGATAGTCATGCCTAATCACC